CTGAGACTCCACTCCCCTTTTTGTAGACCCTTGGACTGAGCATTCTTGCCATGACCCTGCTGTGCTCCGTTTGTGTCCCACATTGGGACTCACCTTCTGGCTTCAGTTCTCTTTATTGCTTGGTCTGAAATTTGGCCTTATGTTCAAGACTCCTAGAAAGAGCCAATCCCGTTTTATGGGGACTTTCCTCTCAGTTTTTTTTAAAAATTCTTTTTAATGTTTATTCATTTTTGAGAGACAGAGACAGAGCACGAGCTGGGAAGGGGCACAGAGAGAAAGGCACACACACACACACAGAATCTAAAGCAGGCTCCAGGCTCTGGGTTGTCAGCAGAAAGCCTAACGTGGGGCTCGAACCCACGAACCACGAGATCATGACCTGAGCTGAAGTTGGACGCTCAACCAACTGAGCCACCCAGGAGCCCTCCTCTCCGTTTTAATATCGAATCTGAGTACCACTTCTCCGTCCATCCGTGCGTATGATGCTGACGCACTTTGTTAGAGTCAAAGACAGGGTGTTGCTGGATGCCCATTGCTGGGAGGTTTCTTCAGGGCCACCCTACAAAACATCAAACATATTCTGGAGACTTCAAGAGAATGTACAGCCTCTATTTTTACCGTAAGATGGTCAGGGGAGAGATACTCTAGCTTGTAACTTAGGGATATACATTGGCCTCACAGATTCAGACCAGGGGAGGGAAACATAGAGCGAGCTGATCACCACCACCTCCATCTTTGCTCATGGATCTTTGCTCAATTGATCCCAGAACTCTTTCTCACTGAGCGTAAATGTGATCTCATGTCGCCATGAGATTGGAGCTGACAATCGAGTGAATTTTGTGCTATCCTGACTTTGTCCAGCCAGTTGTGATATGTGTTTTTTGACAAAACTAAGGGATAATACAGAGTAAGGGACTATGAGGCTTCTGTTGGACTTGCAGTGACACCCAGTAGGGACTGAGAATATTCAGTATATGGGGATTGTCCCACTCCCACCGTGGCTTGCAGCTTACTTAGGTGTGAAAGGGGCTGCACCTGTCTATACAGCCCCTTGCCAGGTGTTCAGAAGGTCCTTGCCAGACTGCCCTGCTCCAGCAAGGGATAGAGAGGGACTAGTCATCTGGCCTCAGTTCTGCATCTTGGAGCTGCACATACTTGAGTCTTTGCCTTTGACTCGGGTCCCTAAAGGGACCTGTGCCTGTGATTAGGGTCCTGGTTGGTGGGGGCGGGGGGGGGTCCACAGGAAAGAACACTGGCTCTTGAGGGTCAGCGCCTTAATAAAAAGGGAAAATAGTCCAACAACCTGGTAGGCGGCAAAAACACCAGCCCACCAGTCTCCCAGAAGCACCTTCCTTGTCTTCATATACTGTTCTTGGCAAAGGGCCTCCACACGTGGGCTCCAAATGGCACTCAGGCTTGGCCCCTTTGACGGGCCTGCATATGAAAAATGTTCGTTGTGCAGGACTTTGGCTGTAATGGCACTTTGGGTGTAATGGCAGCTGTATAATGATGTGATTATTGGATTCCCCTTGGCTCTGCCCAATCCCTAAAGAAATAAGAATAAATTGGGCAAGGCACAGGGCTGGGATCCCATGCAGAGCCATGCAACGCTCTTGGTTGATAGATCCCACGTTCACAGTCAGAGGCATGTCCCCATATTATAATGAGGGTGTCTCTGGTGCTCAGATGACCTTCATCATCCTCTCTGTGGGGAAGGAGGCAACGTCCAGAGACAGAAGCCCACTGGCCTCTGTGCTTATCCATAGACCCTGTGCCCGAGGGGAGCTCCGGCTTCTCCATATAAATAGCAGAGCACTCTACCAGGACAAAGGCACCTAGTGGAAACTTTCTGGAAGGGATCCTCTTTTGTGGTACAACTGTTGACAGATTTTACTACTAGAGACCGTGAGAAGGGAAGAACAAGGAAGGAAATTACCAAATATGTGTATATACAAATATGTGTGCTCACAACAAATCTTTAGGCAAAAATATGTATTCCTTACAATGAAATGTGATATGAAACCATAATCGAAATTCTATAGAATTCTATAACAGAATTCTATAATCAAGTAAAAGAAACTGTCCAAATAAGAGCCCCTAATGCTTGACCCTTAAACTGTTAGTCTGGATGGGAAAGGCTTAATAGAAATTTTTAAATCATGTTGAAATTGTCAGGCTGTAATATAGGGTGTGTTGCAACTTGGGGCTCTCATATTTGTTCCTCTGTTGGACGCCTTGAAGATAGACATATTGTGATTCTTCATAAGAAATATATATCTAGTCTTCGTCCTGGATCTGGGCGCAGAGCCCCTAAAATCCTTGTAATTTCCTAGGTGAGGTGAGCCATTAAGGTGTCTTTTGTCATGTTAATGAGGCGACTTTTGGAAAGCACCTGGATCACTTAAGGATGGGAGGGGGGAGGGTTTGAGATTGAGTTCCCTTGTCAGCTACTAGTTATTGAATCAGTCATGCTTGTGTGGTGAAACCTCCACGAAACCCTGAAGGACGGGGTTCGGAGAGCTTTCCAGGTTGGTGAGCACGTGGAGGTGTGGGACAAGTGGCACCCTCAGCACGGACCCTCCGCGTCCCCTCCCCATGCTTTGGTCTATGCATTTCCTCCGTCTGGCTATGTTATGCCCAGAATTCGTGATCCCCAAAGACCACTAGGGAGCCGAGTCCGGTGCAAAAGCAAAGAGCCTTTATTCGAGCTAGCTCGAGCTCAATCCCCTACCTGCACCGACGCAGCGGTGAGATACCAGGGAAAGAGAGCGAGTTTCAAAAGGACAAAGGTTTTATTGGGGCCTGGGGGCAGTTGGTGAGGTAATGGCTATGGCCTCAGCCAATTGGCTGGGGAAGGGTCCTGGGGAAGGGTCCGAGTCCTGTTAGGCAGGTGGGGGGGGTTACTCAAGGGGAGGAGGTGTGGTCAAGGTGAAGGACACAGAACAAGATGGAGTCGGCTGGCGTAGGCCCGCCCTTTCAGCTATTCCTGGGTTCCATCCCTCTCTCATAAACCAGTGATCTACTAAGTGAAATTTTCTCCGAGTTCTGTGAGGGGCTCTAGCTACTTGGTTGAACCTGAGGAGGGGTCTTGGGAACCTCTCATCTATAGCAGGTTGGCCCGAAGCACAGGTGACAACCGGGGCTCGGCCACTGGCTACTGTGACAGCAGCCACTCAGCTGGTGTCACAGAATTGCTTGGTGGTGTTGGAAAACCCCACACAGGAAGTGGAATCGGAATCACAGCCTCCCAGCCCCTGTCTTCTTTGTTAGCACACAGATAATAAGAGGAATTCGATAGACTTCCATTTATAAGAGTCAGCACCTTTTTCTCTCTCTTTCCCGTGTGGCTCAGGAGCCACCAGGTTTTATGGGAGGATTTCCTTACACACCTTTATACTCGGGTGGCCTCAGAGACAGAGAACGCGACACAGCTTCTTTGGCAGATTCGTCATGAGTTTACCGATCTCATTTTCGAAAGGATCCCTTTCCAGATGAGGAGCTCCCAGAGCGTCATCCTCCCAGGGCTGGGAAGGCCCTCTTCCCCGGGCCGGCATGTGGGCGGGGGGGCCAACACGTCTCCACTGAAAACTGTCTCTGCAGGGCACTGGCCACAGGAAGTTTCCTCTTTCTTGTTTCGGTGTTCTGTGCGAGCGCTATTGAACATATGAGCCCTTCTGGTGTTTCAGGTCTTTTGCAAGAGGACGCAGAATAGCGATTTTGATTAACAACAGTAAGAATAATTACAAAAGTGTTCAGAACCCTGCAGGCGTGTGTGAAGGGGCCCCGGGTGTGAGGGCGCACAGGGCAGGCGGGACAATGAGCCATTCAGTGAGGCTGGAATCCAAGGTGTCCAGAGAGCAGGAGGGAGGTGAGCCTGGTGGGGACCCGTCTGCCCTGCACGGGAACAATGAGACAAGTTTTATTATCTATGCTACATATCATTTCATTTACTCTCTCTGCCATTCCTGGCAATTAGGTAGCCTCATTCTCTTTTTACAGATAAAAACTGAAGTTCAGGGATGATAGTCTTGTTTAAGAGCCTCCAAGGAGCACGAGGGGAAATTTGGGATCTAAAAGCCTCAGTTCCTGAACCTTCATCCGTTGATATGCATGTTGAAAACTTAACGCAGGGGCGCCTGGGTGGCGCAGTCGGTTAAGCGTCCGACTTCAGCCAGGTCACGATCTCGCGGTCCGGGAGTTCGAGCCCCGCGTCGGGCTCTGGGCTGATGGCTCGGAGCCTGGAGCCTGTTTCCGATTCTGTGTCTCCCTCTCTCTCTGCCCCTCCCCCGTTCATGCTCTGTCTCTCTCTGTCCCAAAAATGAATAAACGTTGAAAAAAAAATTAAAAAAAAAAAAGAAAACTTAACACATGTGTATGTGGTGGTTTTTAAGTGTATGTATAAATTCTTTGACTCTCCTTCCTTTAAGAGGTAAAGCTTAATAGGGGCGCCTGGGTGGCGCAGTCGGTTAAGCGTCCGACTTCAGCCAGGTCACGATCTCGCGGTCCGTGAGTTCGAGCCCCGCGTCGGGCTCTGGGCTGATGGCTCAGAGCCTGGAGCCTGTTTCCGATTCTGTGTCTCCCTCTCTCTCTGCCACTCCCCCGTTCATGCTCTGTCTCTCTCTGTCCCAAAAATAAATAAACGTTGAAAAAAAAAAAAAAGGGGTAAAGCTTAACAAACAAACAAAAAAAAAAAAAGAAAGAAAAAAAAAGTAAAGCTTAGCTCTCGTCCCCTGGGATGTGGGCGGGGCTTAGTGACATTCTACAGAATCAGACATGTGTGACCTCCAAGGCTAGGTCGTAAAAGACGCTGCTCTGTCTGCCCCTCTTCCTCTCACACTCTGTCTCGATCTCTTTCTCAAAAATAAGTACACATTAAAAGAAATGTTTTAAAGAAGCCTGTGGAAGTTGGCAGAGCTCACGGAGTACCCGAAAAAGAGGAGAGATAATGATTAGACTTGCATGGTAGAGAGATCTCCCGGGATTTGCAGAAGGAAAGAGTAAAGTGGGAGAAGGATGGAAAGATGCAGAACCAGAAAAGCAGAGCCTAGAAATGCTCAGAGGTGGATATAACAGGACGTGCCCCTTCCTCCAACCTCTTCCTGCACCACCAGGCTCAGGCATATGGAGTGTTCAAGAATCATTTGCTCACTTGAACGAGTCTGACTTCCGCGAACATCGACGCTAGTCCGTGCAACCACAGAATTTTACAGATGCACAGCCCAGAGAAGTCAAAGGAGAACGTCGAGCTCTACAGAAGAATAAACTCAGTGCTCAGCCCGGACACCTGCCCCCATTCCGGGTGCACAGCGTTACTCATGGGCATCCGTCAGCACTTAGTGTCTGTCACGTTCTGTGCTAAGAGCCTTATTTTCGCAACGGTCCTATCTAATAAATACCTTCACGATCCTCGTTTTACAAATTAGAACAGGGGTCAGCAAACTGTGGGCCAAATCTGGCGGCTGCCTGCTTTCTGGGTAACACAACCACGCTCGCTTTTTTATACGTTGTCCATGGCTGCTTCTGCACTACAGCGGCCAAGTTGAGTAGCTGCTCTCAAGACATCACGGCCAAAAATCTTGGCTATCTGGTCCTTAACAAGAAAAGCAAGCCGACCGCTGAGGTAGACCCCGGGTCGGGAGGCGGGACCAGCAAGCAGAGTGCTGCAGCCAATCAGAACCGGGGCCGGGTCTGACTTGAGAGCCCTTTAGAGTCTGGCTTTAGTGCTGCTCAACGGGCTCAGGCAGGGCGACCGCCCGGTCAAGGTCCTTTGTTATCTGCCTTCCCTTCAGAGCAACACAGAGCAGCTCAGAGAAGCTGGCATTTGAGGTCCATAGAGGCTCCCAGCGTATCTGAAGAAGGCCAGTGTTGGGGGGGGGGGCGGTGCACAAACCTAGGCCCCCAGCAGCCCAGCAGGAGGGCCTTGGGAGACTCTAACTGCTGACGTCCGTGCTTCTGTTCCGCTTGCCTGGAACGTGGGCTCCACGCCTCCCGCGGGGACACCTCGGGAGAGAACCCCATGGAGAGAGAACATGTCTGAGCCTCTGGCTGGGATCTGGAGAAGCCGTCCTGGGTCCTGCGCAGGCCGGGCAACAGCACAGACGGCCCCCCGTGCTGTGATGCTCTCATCTACATGCTCTTTCCTTAGGCCGTTTCTGTTTCTATGCCGAAACACTCATTCTCTTCCAGCATGGGTTTGTTTTTCTTTTTTTTTTTAAGCCTGCCTTTGATGGGGTTCAGGCTGGCCGGCCGAGCCCAGGGGCGGATCACGGGGAGCACAGCAGAGAGGCGTGGAGTGCAAGGGCGGGGGGGGGGGGGCGCAGCCAGGTGCACCCTGCACGCGTGGGAGCCTAAAAGTGAGGCAGGTGGGAGACAAAGGTATACACTGCAAATGTACCAAGAGCCCAGAGCCAAGAAAGATCCAGCGACAGTTGATTCCAGTGGGCAGGGGATGGGAAGGGTCCTGCCAACGAGCAGCTTTGTGTAGGCACCCTGGATCTGCCCTGCGAGCCCCACGCACCGCTCTGGGCTCTACGGCTTGGTCTGCGGCAACGGGAGTCAGCAGAGATGCTAGAAAATAACATTGTGGGTCTGGGTCTGCTCAGGCAGGAGGGCTCTCCGGGCTCCTGCCCCGCCAAGCAGAGCGGTGGGTAGCTGGTGCATGCCTGAGGATCCCACAGCCTCCCCTTCCACTTCTAGATTCTTCTTCCTCTGAGCCCAAAGGGCGTAGTCTCCAGGAGCTCCCCGTTCAAGTGTGCATCATCCTGGGGCAGAGGCGGGTCCCCGAAGGATGCAGGCAAGAGCTAGTGCTTCAGCGGGTTGGCGGGATGTGATTCCGGGTAGCGGGGAGGCAGGTGAACTCAGTTCATGTATTTATGAAGGGCCCACGATGGGTCCGATCTAGTGGTGGGGGATAGAAAAGCAAGACGAACGAGACGCGGGCTCTGCCCCAAGGCACTTACGTCCTAGTAAGAGCTGTAAACAAAGACAGGACATGCGGCAGAATAGTGCCTCCTTCCAGGGACGGTCATGTCCTAATCCCCCCACCTCATGTGGCAACAAGCAGATGTGAGGACGTTAAAGACCTCATGTGAGGGGGCACTTTAGGGGAAAGCAGGAGGGTCAGAGTCCAAGAGATGTGACCAGGCAAGCAGAAAGCAGAAGTCAGAGTGGCTGGATGTGGGAAGGACTTAACCCTTCACGCTGTCTTTGCAGGAGGAGGAAGGGAACTCAAGTCAAGGGACACAGGCAGCCTCTAGAAGCCAAAAAGGGTGGCGGTGTGGATCCCCCCTAGAGCCTCCGGAAAGGAGTGCAATCCTGTGGACACCTTGGTTTTAGCTCAGGGAGACCCAGAATGGACATCTGGCTTCCAGAACTGCAAAATAATAAATTTGCATTGCTTTAAGCCACTGAACTTACAGTAATTTGTTATGGCAGTGCATACGCAGGGTCAGACATGGCAGTGTCCCTGGGGGCTGTGGGAGCACCTGTTGGCTCAGGTTTCAGGGACCTGCCTGGAAAAGAGGCCCACGTTGGGTTTTGATGGATGAATAGGAGTTGGACGGTCCCAGAGGGAGCCCATTCCAAGCAGATGGAAGGCAGGGGAAGAAGTACAGTGATATACAATGAACGCCATGAGGTAGATGGGGGGTCCCCAACCCTGGGGCAACAAAGCACAAGGAGGAAAGGAGGAGAAAGGATGAAGCCGAGGATTTGTGCAGGGAACCTGTCCACACAAGCCTTCAGGTGGCACAGGTGAGGCAGCGGGTCACGAACCCACATGGTGTTTTCCTTTAACTCACATGCTTTAGAAAGAAGCCCTTGAATTACATCTGTCAACAGCTGGCTTAACCATCTTCACTGGCTATTAACTAGTTATTAAATCCATCACTTCATTAAAAGTAAAAGTGGTGTCTGGGTAGCTCAGTCTGTTAAGCGTCTTACTTCAGCTCAGGGTCTCGAGGTTCGTGAGTTCAGGCCCCGTTCGGAGCCTGGAACCCGCTGCAGATTCCCTGCTTCAGATTCTGGGTCTCCCTGTCTCTCTCTGCCCCTCCCCTGCTCTTGCGTTCTTATTTTCTCTCTCTCTCTCTCTCTCTCTCTCTGTCTCAAAAATAAATAAGTAAACATTTTTTTAAAAAAGTAAAAAAAAAGCTACCAGCTGTTCAGTCAACACATGAAATGTACATGTCACATTACCATTCTGACATTTTAAAATAAATTTAACAGGGACGCAGACAGAATCAAGTCATTGCGTTATCTTGTAAGTGCGTTGCCCCAGTTTTCGGCAGAAATACCCAACATGCTGGGTAAAGCCTGGAAAAGAGCCCCTGCTAATTTTGTAAGAATACGGTTATCGGCCCCCAAACACAGAGCGGTGACACCTGTCCTGGGTGGGGCAGAGGCTTTGACTTGACTCCAGCTCTGTCACCCGCTGCCTGGGCACTCTGGGCAAACCACTTCAACTTTCTGACCTCAGTGTCCCCACCTGTAAAGTAGGGTTGTGGTGACACCAAGGTCCTTGCATTCTGAATCTTAAAGAAAATAATAAAGGAAAATAAAGAATGTCTCCCGTAGCGTGGCGCTCAGTGCTCCGCTCCTCAAGGTGCAGCTGATGCGGAAATAAGCCTGGCTGTCGGCCCCGGGCGTCAGGCACAGAGCAGCCGGCTTTGCAGGAGTAGATGCCGCGAGATCCTGGGGTCGCCACCGGTGGCCGGGTACTTCCAATCGGAGAATCACGGAGACATGCCTCGTCTGCATTTGGGTGCTCGGGGCCAGTTGAGCAGGCAGGCCTGAGCTGAAAAATCATGAGGAAGCAAATTTCCAAACAAACCCAGATTCCCATGGAAAAGAATGGAAAAAGGTCAAGGGGTTGGACTTATTGGCTGCTGTTCCCTCCCTGGGCTGTGCCCCGGGTTGGTTTTCCTGTGCACTTGGCTCCTGGTGACCCGCTCCCGGAGTCCTTGGCAGGCCCGCCTCGCTGGCCTTACGAGCGAGCTTCCCTGACACCAGGGTCATCGGAGATGTCACCGTGGAGACTGCCAGAACTCCCCGGAGCTGACCTCTTCTGTCCTCATTTCCAGGCCATTAGCATCCACCCCAGACACACACCCACCTTGTCGGGGGACTCCCCTCATCTAGATTTCATCAGAATGTATTTACAGATATATTGTATTTCATGGGTGAACATTTTCGAGCAGAGCTGGCTCCACGATGCTGGTGGGGTAAAAATCATTCAAACTGCTCATAGGTAGCGTCGGCTGCCTCCGACTTCTGGTTGGAGTCTAACTAAGGTCATCGAGGCCACCTGCAAGTAACTGGAGGCAAAGGGACAGCAGACCCGCGGCTTCTCTAACTGCCTCTGTCCCCACTGCCCTTCCCGCTCTGCTGACTTTTTTCACTTTCCACTCACATCTGTACTAAACCCACGGCTGGTCTAGCTGACACCCCCAGGGAACGTTCCGTTTCCCTTTCCCACTCACTGCAATGCCTCGTGTTCCCATCCTTCAGGGACCCATCATCTTTTTTTAGAGTCTGGACGGCACACCGGCAGAGAGCTAAGTGTGGGAACACACAGTGACCGAAGCAAAGCCCCTGCCCTGGGTGTGCTCATGGTCAGACAGGGGAGACAGACCCCACCCTGGTGAGTAGGTGATAAGGGACTGTGGTGGGTGCAACTTAAAGGTAAAGAACTAATAACTCTATGGGGGAAGCGGCATCATGGAAGGCTTCCTAGAGGAGGTGATAGTCTTTCTCATCTTGACCATGTGGACTCTGAAGTTCCTGTGAAATTCCCAGATACAGATGCCCAAGAGGCGGGTCCACGGAGCTGGAAGTTCAGGAATGGGATCAGAGTGGAGTGCTCCCCTGGCACGTTGTCGGCCCCCCGAAATCCATAGATGGAGCTCTCACTCTGTGGCCATCTCTCTGTCTGTGGTCACGTGGCATCTCCTTCCTCCCGAATTCCCTGGCCTTTCTCCACATATGTCCCCTTGGCCATTGGAAGCATCTGACACCACCACTGCCTGGCCCCTGTGTCCTGACCCCCTCCCTAGTGCAGCCCTCCTGGCCTGGTTCCCCTCCTCAGTCTCTGCACTTTGTTTCCTCCTTTCCCTCCTCCCTTTGTCCCATCTGTTTATCAATAACCGATCCAAAGGTCCATTAAGCTCTTAAATGTGAGAGACTCGGCCTGGAGCAGGACAAAGGTCCAGTAGGGAGACAGAAGGGACAGTAGAGAGACTGGGGACGGTGCAAACATGACTAAGACCTGGCCGGGAACCGAGGAGTTTGCCGCGTACTTGGTGAGGCCAGATGAAGATGGGTGAAAAGGAAGCAAGGAACAGAAGGCAACGTGTGAAAAATGCAAAGAGAAGGTCACGTGTGGAGGGGGGTTCAGAGCAGGGAGGGGCCATTTCTGGTAGTGAGGGGTCAGGAAGACTTCTTTCAGAAGACTTTCATCTCTGGGGATCGTGGGGATCACCCTCCCTTTATGTCCCTCAAGGGGGCCTCTAGGATTATACTTGTCCCCGGGGGGCTGCTACCTGTCTGGTTCTGCCTCCTCCCCTAGACTGTAAGCCCCAAGAGGCCAGGAACCACATCCTGTTGACCACTGTGCACCTGCTTCCTGGCCCAGCCTGGGACCTGAGCAGGCACAGCAAATGCGGGTGGCGGTGAATCGTTCTAGTGGCCTTTGCCCGTGCCTCAGTCTCTAGCATTCTGTTCCTTACGCCCTCCATCAGGAAATGCACCAATTCCTGGCAACAGCTGTCCGTTCTGGGTACGTGAGGTTGAGCCCACATCCCTCGCTGTGCATCACGGACGGCCTGCCCAGCATCGTATCAAGCCCTGCGTGTCTCGAGCCAGCCGCGTGATCCCTCACCAAAAGGGACCTGACTTGGTGTTATCCCTTCACCTGCCCAAAATTCGGCTTCGGAGAAGGGTGGTGTGCAGGTAGCTGATGTTGGGAGGTCAACCAGGTAGAGGGATAGGGATCCGGGAAGAGTACCTAGGGAGAGACGAAAAGCCAGTTCAGTCAGCGTGATACACTCTTCCATCTGATATCAAGCTGGTCACCACCACCACCACCCCCCAGCGGGACATGGTGAGGACAGAAGGGTGTGACTCGGAATGGTCCACGAGTGGGATGAAACGGAGACTCACCCGCCACCAGTGCCCATCTCCCCACGGCTGAGCGTTGGTCCACGAGATGTCAGCCCTCCTAAACGTCACAGGTGCCCACGCAGGAGTGCCAGCCAGGTTCCCACGGGCAGCCCTCACGAGAAACAGGAGACATGGTCTGAAAGTGAGCCGCTGTCAGCACGATGCTGACCGAAGTGTGCATGCAGCCCCCGACCATCCCCACGGCCGGGATCGGGGTTAGCTCGACAGGGCGGGTAGAGCAGAGCTCTGCTGTAGACCCCTTGCCTCCCACCCCTGTCCACCGCAGGACTGCTGGCCTCTTAGGCATCCGGGTTCCCTCACTGGGATGTCTGTAGCTCTTCCTCATTGCTGGCCCCCCTTCACTCCTTCCAGCTAAACTTCCTTCTTTCCATCTTTCCTTGTATGTCTCTGAAACGCAGCCCCCCGTCTCACCTCCGCTGCTCTGTCAGTCTAGATACTCAACTCCGCACGTTTGGATTCGCTTAGTCTCCCCCCGAGGGGCTTGACCACCTCATTTACTCCCTCTCCGTCCATCTTCATGTTGCCGCCATACTGGTTTCCCCAAATACTGTCCCCATGTCACCCCATGATCAAAGCCATGGCTGCCTTCTCCCAGCACAGTTGGAACACTATGCCAAGGGCCTTTGGAGGGACTTAGAGCGTCTGCCAGCCGGGACGGGGTCTCACCAGAAACCAACCCTGTCAGCCCCGTGACCCTGCACTTCCAGCCTCCGGAACTGGGAGAAAGTTAGCTCCTGCCGTGTCAGCTGCCCATTCTGCTGTGGCGGCCCGAGCACAGCAACGAATCAAACGGCAGAGTGAGGTTCTAGGAATCAGCTAACCCTGAGGTTCTGGGGCAGAGCTGGGAGGGGGAAGGACCTGGCTCTGGCCGGGCGGGGAGGAGGGTGCTCTGGGAAAGGTGTGACCCTCAAAGAACGCAGCAAACAGGTGCGACACCCCAATTAGGATCATCAGGCTGCTGTTGACAAAGGGAGGTTCAGGGAAAATATGGAGGCTCATTCCAGACCCTCCACCCTTGACTCCCCTTCCCATCTCCCTTACTCTGGCTGTACCTGGGTGCTTGCGCTTCTAACTGGGACCCCACTCTGCGGCCCAGCCGTATAGCCAGTGCCTAGACTAAGGCCTCCGCCATGTCGGCCCCGAGACCACAGAGAGGATTCTGGAAAGCTGGCTCTGCACACATGTTCTTAATTGCGTTATGTATAGTGTTAATTTCTCGTTCTCTCTGCCTGCTCCCTGGGTGGCAAGAAGAAGCCAGATTACTCCACAGTGTTGTTGAGCATTGTCGTTGCCATGGTGACTGAGTGCCACAGCCGCCTGCCTTCTACCTGTGCGTCGTGCCACGCTTCCACTGGTGATGCCACGATGATAACGTGATCGCCGTGAGGCCTCCACGTGCCGCGCATGAATCACGTTGCCAGCAGGGAGGTTAGTCCTGTGGTCATTGAATATGTAAGCAGCCCAATCCCAGAGTCCATTCTGAGGGTCAGAGGGCTGCTTCTGGGTGCAGTTCAGGCATTCGTAAGCATCCCAGCAGGAAACAGAGGGCACCCTCCACACTTAAATTAGGATAGCTCAAAGAGGGCTTTAACAAGATTGGCCCCCTGTGAACGTGGGAAGGGTCTATGAGGCTCACAGGGAATGGGGGCAGTGGCCCCAGGGCAAGGAGGGAGGGGTGGCCCACAGAAACCACGGGGAAAGTCCCACAGAGGAGGACAAAGCGGTGTGGCTTCAGTCAGGTGACAGCCTGCCAGGGAGGAGACAGGTGGGTAAATACCCTGATTGCGTTCTCTCTTCTGGCAAAAGCCAGAGGGCACAGGAGCCCATGCCCGCAGCCTGTATTCACCATCCTTTTTATCTTCTATATATTATAGGGCTTTTGCCACTTGGGGCTTTGCAGACCCAGCAGCGGACTGTCCCTCTCAGGGTTAGAGGATTCCTAGAGGCAGTACATGACTCACCTGGCCTGCGGGCACACCTTCCCTATGCAGGCCAACCAGTCCTTAGTCTGGTCCCACAGTCATCTCCTTCAACGCTCATGCCAACCCAACCTTCCCCTGCCCTAAATCCCCCAAGTCCGAGTACTGGGCTATGGGAGACCACCCCTGCCGCCCAGAGCCTGCCGAAAATACTCAAGGGATCCAATGCTAAACCACTCAGCTGGTCTGCCCTCCCTCCCCATTCCTTCCCACAAAAACCACATCTAAGTTCTGGCCCCTGATTTCCACTTGCCCCTGTGCCTCCTGGTCAATGCCAGCATTTCCTCGTGTGGCCCCGCGTGCCTGGTAGTCCCCTTGTCTTGGGAACTGTGAGTCATACACTCCTCTCTTCCAAGGCAGGTGCCTCTGTGCCTGTCATCTTACCAGAGCTGATAAATGAAATCCTGGATTCGGTTTTAAACACAGCCATGCAGAGACGGGGAGCGGGGGACACACTGGGGAGCTGATGGGAGGTACCCATGAGAGTCCCAGCACCGGTGACTTTGAGTTGTTCTCTGCAAAACAAAGGTTGCCGGCCTGGCAGAGATCTGGGTCAAGAGCATCTCAGGTGCGGGGAACAGCCACGGCAAAGGCACGGCCTTTGGAAAGAGACCGGCCCTCAGCGGGTGCGGTGGCTACCAAGGTGGTGTCCCCACGTCCTGGGACTGCTTCTCCCTCACCTGTCATCTCTTTCTTTCTCAACTGCAATCATCCAATCAGCAGGCCTACTGAGTCCCCATCCTTTCTGCCCACCTCACCTGTCCTCCACAGGGAGTGACCTTTGTCTCTTTGGGATCTAGTGCACGTTTTCTGGATGCATCCGGGCCTGGGCATTTGGTGGAGATTTTCTTGTTCAACCCTGAAAGAAACCCAAGAGGAAGGAGTTATATCCCCATTTTCAGGTGGTCGAGATGGGGACCCCTCCGAACATGGTGCTGGGATCCTTACGCACGGACCTGCGCTGTCTCGCCCATGGCTCCAGGGCCACGAGGCTCTGAATGTGTGAAACAAAAACAGCATGTCTCTTGCAGACTGAGCATCGTGTTGGAATCTGATTCCCTAATGAGAAGAAAGACTTTTCCTGATCCTTGATTAAAGAATGGGAAGGCAATGCGGAAGCTCTCGAGACAGCAGCCCCCTCAACTCCACGTGGGACACCCCTGGACCTACCGGTCGCTCAGGGGGATGGAGGCGATGTCTCTCGGAAACCTGCCTCCTTTGAAGCCTTGGATTTCTGTGCTGCATCACAACGGAGCTGGAACCAGGAAAATCCTGTCCCTCTCTACCGCCATTGCTGTCTCGGCATTTTGAAGGGCTCTCGATGCATTGCACATGCCGTAGGGCACTCAAACGTCCCAGGGGTAGTATTGCAGTGGGTCTCGACTCCACAGAAGGCAGGGGTTTCCCCGTGATGTTCTCTAGGACAGTCACTCCAGTGTGAACGCGGCATGGCGTGGCCAGCTGTTCTGAGTCCACCGCCCCCTGGGTAAACAGCTCTACCTCTAAGCACTTTCTAGCTCTGGTTTTTCCTACAAAAACTGTGACATTAACCTGGTGGATGAAGACCTCATTTATCTTTAGCTGGTAAGGACCTGCCTCCTCTGTTTCTCCATTTTTAAACGAGACTTGGGAACCACAGCGTTAAGACAGGATCATTCTGAATCTATCACCCTCCGGACGAACACAAACCTCCCCGGATCCCCTTGTCTCGTCTCCAGCAGGAATAAATTCACTTGTTATTGGTCCCACAGCAGTGGGGTGTGTGAGCACATCCTCTGTGGATATCAAGAAAATTGATGGGACTCTGGTACATCCAGTTCCCCCATCTTGCCTGCTTCCTTGTGTCTGGCCTCAGATCTGCGTTTCAGCCACTAGCCTGAATATAAATTATGCCGGCAAAGCGTGCATACGTAAAGCCTCCCGCCAGGCTGATTTCTGAGCCCGTCATAACAAGAGTCGCGGAGCTGATGTGTCTGCCCCCCACTCCAACCTGTGATTTGTGTTAAACACCAGGTCCGCTCACCTCCCTCTAACCTGCACCTCGGCGTTGTGGGTGGATGTTCAGCCGCGGCCCCGCTTGGCTCTCAGTCCCCTGGTTGCTCTATGGCTAATTTGGGGTCCCACGGAGAAGACCTCTGAGCCGATGTCTATTCTCGCCACTTTTGTCGGACTTCGCCGGCTGCAGAGGCCAAGCGACTCTGCAGGCTGGTTTTCCTCTTCTAGGGGTTGGATCCCCCACCTTGTGCCACTCTGCAGGAATATTCTTGTACAGAATTCCTGTCTGTGAGATGAAAACCTGACCTGATATCTGAAAAAGAAAATTCCGGAAGGCCTCAGCTCTTAAGGAGGATATCGGGAATTGTGGGCTGTGTAGACACCTCAGACTCATCTGTTGGCCTGAAACCTCACACGTTCGTAACAGAAAGTGTGTCAGTTAGGTGGACAAGAGCCACGGCTGACTTTGTGCACAGCTGGAAGCGGAGTACCCTGGGAACAGAGCCAGAATTCACTAGAAATGAAGCTCTTCTCCCTTCCTCCTTGGTGGAGGGGAGGCCGGTCTACACAGGGCCAGTCCTTCCTCTGGACAAGGGAGTGGTGGGGCTGAGGTGGGGTGAGGCCCACCCCTCGGGATTGGGTAGCTGGGGGCTTTGTCTTGGAGCTTGGCTAGGGCTGGTATAGTCTCCACGTTAGCCCAACAGAAGAAAGAAGCTACCAGATTCAGCAAATAAACATATGGGCTGCCAGTTAAAATAGAATTTCGGATAAATACCGAAACTTTGTAGTGTAAGTATGTCCCATGTGTGTGAGATGCAAACTTTACCGGGTGTCCTGTGTGTACGTGGTCATGAGGGAGCAAGGGCCAGACCCAAATGCCCACATTCACAGGCGGCCGAATGGGGTAAGAAGGCAGAAATGAAGTGGTGATTGGATCCAAGCAGGAACGTTTCTACAACAACGGAGCCCATGTCAGGATGAACTGCCTGGAACGGCAAGACAAAAGGGACAGCGAGCTATGGGCCACTGAAGCAGGCTTTTGTGGGTTTGATACGGGCCCTTCTCTTTCTCCTTCTTTCTTTCAAAGTTTATTTATTTATTATGAGAGAGAGGCAGAAAGAGAGTCTCAAG